GCCGAAAAGTGGGTAGTTCCACAATTAGTTCTGGTACTATGAAAAGGTTCCTGCGGTGCGAAAGGCCCTATAGCTGAGGGCTCTCATTATAACGGCAGCTGTGAACTGGTTGAACAGTTAGCAGATGTCTATAGCATTCAGAGCTCTAGACAGCTCTAATTGGCCATATTTAAACCCTTATAGTCTCTAAGTGAGTGAATGCGTCATCCATTATTTCTCTTATTTAATCTTCCCAGGCATTTCAAATTGTACAGTGTCACTGGCTTTTCTGCGCTGCCATTTAAACATTCTAGGAAGATGCATTTGGTGTTTACAGATGATTTGATGGCGGTTGAATTGAAAGTTTATTTATATACACTACAGCAATTTATTTAAAATTCTTGGGGTTTTGTTATTCTTTCAAGCATCTCAGAAATGTGTACTCATGTCCAGCATATTTTGATGATAGGTTTATTCTCTGTGATCTGTTATGGTCAGTGTCAGAGAGGACTGGGAAATCCACTTCTACCAACTTATGTGAACCATTTGGAGTTTGGAAGGTAGACTAAATGTCACCTGTGTAACAGATGGAGGTTATAGATTGGACAAACAGTGTTTGAAATGTAATTTCTTTCAGTCTGATTTAACATCATATACTTTATACATATACAAATAGATGAACCTTGGTAGATGGATGCTAACTTAAAGGTCCTGGGGATATACAGTACTAACGTAAAACATAAAATGCCATGAACTAGTGTATTCGGGCCATTTTGTGTACTCGAGTACTAGACAGATAAATTGACAGAAAATCTGATTATTTGTTTTTAAAATTACCTGTCAAGTTGTTAATGGTTTTAAAGAAATCTTGTATCTGTAGACCAATGTTGTTATTGTTTACTAAAACTATTAAAAATCCTTTGATCGCTTTTCTTAATTAAAAACAAAACTGAACGAAATAAAATATAAATGCTAGATGAAATGCTTAAACTTTAATGAAAATTTGAAATGTTGCCTTGGCAATACAGGAAATACAGTAACTTAAAGTTGAAGTAGCCGACTAAAACTGAAATAAAAGTAAATTTAATGCTAAATAAAAAAAAAAATAAATAAAATAAAAAGGACAAAAGCACATGACGATTACTCAAACTAAAATTAAAAGGAAAGCAAATTAAGCTTATTTAAAATATTAATAAATACTATAATATAAAAAAAAATTCCATTAAAATAACACCGCTCTAAACTTGACCTTCCGCATCAGATCTTTGGATTCAGGTTTTGTCATATAGTGGTGATGTAGGTGTCAGCATGATGCAGAGTGATTTTGTCCTCCGATGTGCTGAATTGAGGACACAGCAGAAGTGTTGAAGGAGGATATGTGGCTCTCTGCAGTTATGGGACATGCAGGTCTCAGAACTGTCAATGATGACAGACAGCTTTGTACTTGCCAAATTATTTTTATTCCTCTACTGCCATTGATCTTCCCAAGTACCCACCATAAATCAAGGCAAATGTCAAATGATATCTGTTGTGTATACAGAATAGTAATAGTTAGAATACTTAAAACTTTCCCAGATAAGAAAAAATTGATTTGATTAGATTTGAACTGAAATATTGTTGTACTTTTCCATTTCAGAAAACAAGGGGGAAATCAAAGGACACAGAATAAGGACAATGATAAATTCCTTTGCAAATAAGGACAGAAACTTTTGCTTCAATACCTGATAACATTTATCTTTGACATAAAGCAGCATGCATATGAAATGATCTGGGTTTAATGCAATTTAATTAATTCTGGTTGATGATGGATCATCTGTCGACTGACTGTTTGGCCATCCTGACCTATCCCTACTTGAGATTTAAACACAACACCTGCCCTACACTGAGTGTGTAAGTCTTAATAGACATTTGCTCCCTTTTAGTGCTGATCTCACGTCTCTTGTCAAAAGCACAAGACCATCATCTCTCAACCTGTGACTAGTCAGCATCCTGCGGCTCCCAGTGGAGAAATATTAGTCTCTAACCTTTACTGTTAAGAGCCTGGCTGACACACACACACACACACACAAAGACATCCACAATGGAGAGCAGTTCAGGACATCTCAAGACTCTCAGGAGACCACTGAACCAGTAGCCTGTCCAATACTGCAGTCTCTGGAGGACAGAGCCTCTTCATGGCTTAATTGGGCCATACTGAAGCATGCTGGGAGGTTTACAGACTATTTAATATTTGCTTGGTATTCATGGTCCTTAAAAGGAACCCATAACTGATTTCAGAGAGATTAAGACAAGCAGATTTCCACATAAATATGGACACATATGTCATATAGGTGTTGCAGTAACATTGTGCTGCTTTTAAATGCATTTCTGACCCTTGAATATTACAACATGGTGGTTCTTCAGTTACCAGAAGCATTAATCTTTGCTTATGTTTTTGCAGGGAGTCATAAACGTTATTAATGATTTATAAATAACTGTACGCCAGTTAAGCTATACTGCCCTTATGAAGGCATGTGCAAAGTCAGCGGAAAACAAAAACGTTATTTTAGGTCGCAACACACACACTAGTATTTCCTGTTTCCTATTTGAGCAAGATTAAATGCATACGTTTCTGCAGTATTAAAAGAACAGCGGATAGGAATGTGCAAGTCTTATGTGTGAGCTGATCTGGTATTCTGCTGGGGTTCTGGTCCCTCACAGGCCTCGTTGAATTGTTTTAGGAAACAGATCAGCACTTTAAAGTCCTCAAGTCTGCGGATGTTTCGAAACTCTGAGGTTTTATTAGTTCAGTTTGTGGAAGAGCGTATACTCATCCAAATCAAATCACAAATCAACAGCTTGTGAAGGTGATTGGCAGATTTGCAGACCAGTTAGGATTAAGAGGAGGGGTTAATGCATCACTTCATCAGCCAACCAAATAGGTTGGTCAGTAGTCATCAATAAAACATCACAGGGAAGTTGGAGAGCCTGGTATCACCACACTCAAGTCTCGATTCTCGGTTTGTTCTCAGAACAATCTAGCTAGTGTGTCTACGAGCTCATCTGACCGTAGATGTTTGTGCATTAGACAGCATAAATTCAAGAGGATGTCATCACATACTGGATTGAAACAGTCACATGCAGGTTGACAAAAAATCGTAATTTTCTTTTTCTTAATGCAGCTTTTTGGTCGGTTTGTGAACAATTAATTTTGCATGTTATTCCAAAGAAACTTTCATGCAAAAACATTTAAAATATTATAGAAATGGATTGTCAAGTCGCGCCTTTTCCATTTCACCCAGAAACAAGAGGTTTGCAGAAGCAATTCACATTGAGTTTAAGATTTTTTTTTTCCTACTTGTTTTTTGGACTATAATTTAAGATCTGGCAAGGCAAAAGATAGTATAGTTGTGAAAATATTTGTGAGAGCCAGTAAGGACTTTATCCTGGGTGCCAGTGGAAGCTGCTTTTTGAAATTGTTGGCTTCAGTGGGAGTTTCTTTCTCAGAACATGAGTGTTCAGGATTTCAGTATTGGCAGTGATGTAAAATGTGTCCTAATGCTTGAAGAGTGAACAGCTGCTTAGTAGGGATGCAACAATACAGTTATACATAGCCCACAGTTCAATACATACCTTGTTTTTTAACCACGGTTTTTGGTTCGGTTCTGATGACTTGGCACATCAGAAGGTTTTTTTTGTGATTTAAAATGTGAGTTTTAAAACAAATTAACAACAACAATAAATACACTTCTTTACACTGGAGAAAAACATGGATTATCATTTGTCTACTTCAAATTTATTTTTATTTTTACCCAAAGTAGAATGGATTGGCCATTATTGAGTGCTATAAATACATGTAATGTTTCATTCATACTGAAAGCCGGAGAGACTCCACATATGCGTCACAGAGGTAATAGAACTGATGACGCTCCAGGAAATTCCTAATATGGACAAAGGCATCCATCTATCACTGTAACTGAATAAAAAGAAGACAGAAATGTTTTGAATGATGAAATATAAAGACGATAAACACTCAACTGCGATAATATAGAGATTGTGTTCTTCAAGCCGTCTCGGGTATTTTCATCACAAAATATATTTGTAATCTATTGCTAATCGACATAGCCTTTTTTTATGGTATAGAATATATGTTCTACATCATTCTGTGATTATGAAGCCACATCAGATCACAAAAGGAAGTTATTTCAAAACATTTGACATTTTGTGGAGTAAAAACATGTTATAATATTTTTGTTGGACAACAGTCATTACAAGGGAAGAAATTTGGCGTGTGTTGCTTTTTCAAATGCACATCATAAGTGGGGAGGTGTTTCCTCATCTCAGCGAGTGAACAATTTCAAAATCCTAATAGTTCCAAGTAGACTCTGCAATACACATCGCCCCACACTTTACCTCACAGTATTTGCATCATAGCAGCTTTTTGAGTGCTCAGATAAATTCTGCCTGAAGCAACAGTGAGAGGACTTAATTGAAATTAGTGCCATTACCCCATATGTTTTATCCTCTCTGATATATTGCCCTTCCTCCTCTCTGAGGCAATTGGAGTGATTTAGCCTTCCTCCCCAAGCACACATACCAGCCTGAGAACATGACTTTCGCACTCAAATGAATGTTTTCTGTGCTCTGAAGCCTGAGGGACTCTGTTCACTGGAGTTAAAGACTGTGTGTGAAGGCATCTAAGCCTATTCTCTGTTTTACTTGTGGGGGAAAGGACATTGGATGTGTCCAGGTTTTGTATGTTTGTGTATTTTGACATCAGCTCAGTTAAAGAGTAACTGATTAAGGGCAGTTACGCTCAAACTACAAGCTGTTTACACAGTGTTTGTGTTCACGCTTTGTTCATTCACATGCTGTGCTCTTGCTCTGTCCACATGGATAACTTTGCCTGAATTGGATCTCAGCCAGTGTGGTCTAGAATCTGACACAGTTCACAGGGTTGAGAACTACTGTGTGAATTATCTCTTTTTCAGTCTGTGCTTGTGTGCGCTCTGCTATAAATCCTTCTCTTTTTCTCCTCACAGACTGATTCGGTGCGCTTGAAGCTCAGCTGATCCTTCTCCTCTTTGTCATCGTCGTGGTCAGCGCGTGTGTGTAAAGATGCCGCCAGCGACAGGAGGGCCGGTGGGCTACACTCCTCCCGAAGGTGGCTGGGGCTGGGCAGTGGTGGTAGGGGCCTTTATCAGCATTGGCTTCTCCTATGCCTTCCCCAAGTCCATCACAGTGTTCTTCAAAGAGATCGAGGTGATCTTCAATGCCACCAGCAGCCAAGTGTCATGGATCTCCTCAATCATGCTGGCTGTCATGTATGCAGGAGGTCAGTTCCGTTTACTGCTGTCACTTCTGTCCATCCTGGTACTTACTCTACTTATTTATCTCTCTTTGAGAATTGAATTGAAAATGTATTTATTATAATTTTTTATTTATCCAAATTACCCCTAAACATTTTATCATTCACCCATATGGGAATATTTTATTACATTGATAAATCAGTGTTTGGAGAAAGAGGAAAAAATAAGTTTAAAAGTTTTGGGTTGGTAAGATTACTTTTTGTTTATAAAAGTCTCTTTAATAATGTCCATTTAATAATGCATATTATTAATGCATTTTTAACTTAAAAACTTTTAATTTCAAACAAGTTTTGTTTGAAATTCCAGGGGTTTTTTTGTTCTTTTTTAAATTTTATTGTGTAATGTTTTTTAGTAAATTTCTCTTCCTGTCATAATTGAATACCATCCTGTCGATGTGGCCAATTCAAGTTGCTAAAACCAAATACAGTATAGACCTTATATAAAAAAACATGCTATATACAGGCATGCAGAAAAATCCAGAATATGAATGCAATGCTTAACATTTGATTTTTAGAATTTTCCAGTCGAAAACCATAATAAAGATTTAATTTGCAATTTAGTGCATCACATTCATATTCTGAGGTCATCTGCTCGCCTGTACTGTATAGAGTATGCATCATCAATAAAGTGTATGCTGAGTGTGGTCTTTTAATGCCACTGTTTTAGTACATTATGCCACATTAAACGTGTTTCATGTTAACTTGTCCAGAACTTGCAGCTTGTTCACATATACTTCTTTTGAGAGGTGATCTAATTTATGGCTTGAAGCAGATGGATAATTGTGAAAACTGTGAATTGTTAAATTCTGTATTTTGGGTACCGCTCTCTCTGTAGAGGTTTCATTTCTGTTGGGGTTGTGTTCTGGTAGAGTAAAATAAGGTCAGAACTGAAACACAGCTGTGTGTTTAAACCCTGACATGCTTTTTGCTACTGATGTGCACTGCAGGGCTGCGCATCTGTTTGTTTGCTTACATTTTTACAAGTTTTCCTTTAATTAAGCTGGTTAGGTAGAGGCATGTTTAAGCTGGTTTTCTAACCTGATGTTCTTGCAGGCAATCACCCAGAATGCTTTGCTGATCAGACCATTAAACTACACTTCTTTACTTCTGTGAAATTAATTTTCAGTTAACTTTTTAACTGAAAAGGCAATTGATGAGATACCTAGCCAGGTTTGAAGAATTTTTTTGTTTAGGGTTTGAAGTGTTGCCAAGTTACTTCACGCCAAACTAGGGAGGATCCGAACATGAACTTCTATTATGACTAATATTTTCAGTCAGCTACCACATAATAGAGAATTTGGGTGAGGACCGTGTAGACTGATGTCACTTTCTGGAGTGGAACGTGTCGGTTGTTTGCATACACTGACTTCATTATGTTCATGTGGCTGTGCACGTAGCCTGAACTCAACAAAGATGCTCTTCCAGTCACATATAAGTTATAACCTGAAAAAGTGAGAGTGATAGAGAGAGAGAAAGATGCTCTTGGTTTCTTCTCTTAAATCAGTTGGTGTGACTGTGCGTGTCTTTGAAAGGAAAAGTGTAGGTTAATAAATGTGAGCGTGTGCTGTAATGAATTAATCTTTTTCTCTTTCTGTCCTCTTTTTTTCTTTCTGTCATAAGAGGCACTAAATTAAATATGCAAAATTATTTCAAACTCTGGTGACAAAAATGAATAACAGGATGTGATTTTACTTCAATACATTACTTTTCAAAAGTTTAGGTGCGGTTTTTATTCGGCAAGGATGCATTAAATTGATCAAAGGCAGCAGAAAAGACATTTATAATGTTTTTAAAGATTTGTATTTTAAATAAATTCTGTTCTTTTGAACTTTGATAATATCGAATGTTTCTTGAGCAGCAAATCAGCATATTTGAATGATTTCTGAAGGATTATGTGACACTGAATACTGAAATAATGGCTGCTAAAAATTCAGCTTTGCCAGGATAGGAATAAATATATATTTTTAAAGCACTGTGTTGTTTGCACTGTATTTGATCAAATATATGCAGCCTTGGTGAGCATAAAAGACTTCCGACCTCAAACTTTTGAATGGTAGTGTATATTATTTGTCTTTATAAAAATTTTTAATATTAATAAAACATTCCAAATATACTGCCTTGAAACTGCAAACCATGCAGCTTCTCCTTGTAAACTTGTAGTAATGTAAAACTGTCAGTGACCGTTTATTACATCTTTCATTTGACCAAGAGGTCAATCTGTGACTTTTAGACCCTCTATTGGTCAAACACCTTGTTGCTGTATTTTGCAGGTGTTTAGTATGCAGCAAAATGAGAAGTCAATACCAGGGATTCCCAAACTTTTGAAAGTCTGCTGAACCCTTTTGATCTGAAATATTTACTTCAGTATCCCTTTTAAGTTCATATTTCAAAAATTTAACAATACATGTTTTATTATTTTTAATAAATATTTTCATAAAGTATTTAATTTAATTATACACTTTCACGATTTAATTATTCACTTTTCGTAAACTCACAAACCCTCTGCCCTTCCCTCATAAACTCAATTTGGGAATGAATAAAAGAAAGTGATTTGAACACAAAATCTAGTGTGGCCCTTTAGTCCTGTACTTTTATTCAAGATCCAGAATCATTCTGAGCGAGATGATCTGGACACTTCCCGCAGACGTGTGAGTGTTCTCACCTGTTTCCCTTGGCTCATGTCAGACTCAGCACTGATATGACGTTATGCCATATAATATCTCTTTGTCATCTGTGGCCACATCACTGGCTGTTTTCAGCCTTGTAAAGCGTTTGATTTTTAGTAGGAATCACACTGCTGCTCCTGTAAGTTGTACATTTGAAATTCTCGCCGTAAAAGCACAAGTAGCTCTCAGACTGAATATCTAAACCGTATCCTCTGCTGACTCTCACGTCTCTCTGAACCAGTTTATATAATCGTGTATGTGTGTATTTGGATCACTGCTGCCTTTGTTTATTTTTTTGGGCTGGAAAAGATGGCCCGTTTTGGTGCTACACAAAGCCTGTCAGAATAAATTAATTTGAGGAATGTGACTGGGGGACGGACAAATTGCTTTGAATTCTGATTGGCTGTGTGAAACCAAAAGGAAAGTTCCTCCTCCTGATGATAGATTAGCTTTTATGGTGAACTGGCACATGTAAAGTTTGCAGATATTTAGTTTTAAGTAAGAATTTATAAAAATTGTAGTGCTTTTTGTCTATACATTTCTGTACGCTAAAACAAACTCTTTATTTATGAAGTCTTTTTTTAAAGCTACTTGACATGTTAGCATTCGCTTGGGTTATATGTACACACTACTATTTGCTATGACGTTTTTATGGAGTTTGCACAAGATTCTTCTGCACTGTTTCAGATTCTCTCAATAACACTGTGATGGATTTGTCTAATATAGGTTGGGTTATTAGTGGAACCGTGCCAAACATCACTGTGTCTTTTCTGTGTTTATCATTTAAAAGTCTTAATAACCATGTTGACCAAACAACCTCTTTTAAAAGGCTGTGGAGTTTTGCCTTGTAAGTGATGTTATTCAACTCTCATTGGTTTAAGGGTGATGCTGCTCTAAATGGAGCCTTTCACAAGAAAAGCAGAGCACTTACCACCAAGCAGTTTATTTATTCACCAAGAAAACCTGCCTCTTTTTGAATACACCCCCATCTATTACTGCCACAGTACAGCTCAGGAATGTAAAAACAAATACTATATTTACGTATTTAATTAGTATATTAATATAGCTTGCAATTGTATTTGTGAGGGAACTTCCAGTAATTCAGTCGAGTAAAGAAAGGTCATATAAGGCCGCTGGTTGTGTTTGATTGACATAATGTTGGAGGAAAGTTAACTGAAATGAACACTGGTCTACCACACACAGAAATAGCAAATTCCTGTTCTGCTTGCTGGAGGCCAGTCTCATTCTGCTGATTACGTTTTTCTCCTCCTCACCACCTCAGTTGATCACATGTCATTTAGTGAAGTGTGTGCATATGGTATCACAGTTTCCTTCCTCTGAATCGTCTGCTGTGTCCTCCTGCAGTCCTGGTGGTGTGAGTGACTGCCATCATGTGGTGGATCTATGTGATTGCAACATTAAAAGGGTATAAAATGTGGCCTGAAACTAGGCCTGTCGCAATAATCAATATATCGACTTATCGCACAATACATGACCTCAATAATTTTTGGTGACGCAATATATTGCCCATTATATTTACATAAAAATGATTGTCACCATGTTTTTTTGCATTCCACTTGTGCCTGTGTCTTTTGCAGCTACTTGTACATAACGTGGTGTAGTTGGTGTTAGTTCAAATTTAAAAAATGCTTCTTCAAAAAAAGTTTCATCTGCAGATATGGTCTTGTTTGGGGATCTGTGCCTTTGTGCATACGGACATTAGACTGCTAAGTAGGGATTGTGCTTTTCAGCAATACAGTGCAGACCCTTAATTTACAGAGAAAAGAAGGTCTGGGAAAAATCTGTAGATGGAGAAATCTCCATACAAGTTCTTTGTGCATTTCTTTTTTCCACTTGTTACTTTGCACTTTTTGTTAGAAAATGTTTATATACTATTTATTCAAGATTTTTAAGGTATCTAATAGTTTGATACTTAATTTCCATGATCTAAATATTCGTAAGAATGAAAAGTTTGTTGTCATTTGAAAGTGTGTTGGCCTTCTTGCATTATTATGCTTTTATATTATGGTTATATATTCAGTGGCATAAAATGGCCTTAAAATTACAATAATATTGTTTATTGCAATTATTTTTGGGGCCATATATCGCACAACAAAAAGTTGTTATCGTGACAGGCCTACCTGAAGCTAACAAAGATTTTTATTTTTCAATAAATGGTTGGTAAAATGTTTGTTGTCAGCCTCGGGAGGACAAAGTAAATGTTACGTGAGCTGTTTTGTATTCTATTTATTTGATGAGAGGTTTACAAATTGTGCTCCCTGTATGGTGTGTGTGTGTGTGTGTGTGTGTGTGTGTTACTGTCTGTGTGGTTTTACTTTTTTCATTTATTTTTGTTTTTTATTTAGCTAAAAATAAATACAGTTCAAGACTTATTTATTTTTATAAAATGTATAATTTATACTTTTCCTTTTATAGGTTTAGCTTTTTGAGAGGTTTACAAATTGTGCTCTCTGTGTGGTGTGTGTGTGTGTGTGTGTGTGTGTGTGTGTGTGTGTGTGTGTGTTACGGTCTGTGTGGTTTTACTTTTTTCATTTATTTTTGTTTGTTTTTTATTTAGCTAAAAATAAATACAGTTCAAGACTTATTTATTTTTATAAAATGTATAATTTATACTTTTCCTTTTATAGGTTTAGCTTTTTGTTTGTTTGTCGGTTTTTAATCCACCTGTTTTTTCTAAAGTTGACCATTTTTGTAAAACGTCATCAAATGAAAAGAATATAAAACAATTACAAAATTGTTACCCATTCTGGTGATTTATTTTTTGTTATTTTATACTTTATTTAATTTTACTTACCTAAAAAAATTAGTAGTTTAAAACATTTATTTTGCTGCTTTCTAAAAATTTGATAAACGACTTAAATTTACTGTTTATAAAAAAAAAGTCTCAGTGGGTAACAGGGTTGCAAATTTAGGTTTTAGTTTGTTTTTACTTTTTTAAACCCACCTGTTTTATCTTAGGTTTTCAAGCTTTGCAAACATCATAACAAAAGAATATAATATAAAACAACAATTATAAAATTATTACCCATTCTGGTGTGTTTTATTTTTATTATTTTAGGTTTTATTTTTTTTATATTTTATTTATTTTAGCTATAAATAAGATAAATGTGTATTATTTATTATATATAATTTTTTTAACCAACCTGTATTCTCTCAACAGGACCGCTCAGCAGTATTCTGGTGAATAAGTTTGGTAGTCGGCCAATCATGATTGTTGGGGGCTGTCTGTCTAGCACAGGATTAGTCGCCGCATCCTACTGTAACACAGTGGAGGGTCTGTACTTCTGTGTGGGAGTTATAGGCGGTAAGTACACCGAATACGGATCCTAACTATTCAGAGACCTGAAGACTGAGTGAGTACAATTTAAATAATGAAAGTTTCTGAATCTGTTTTCTCCCGTTTCTAGGACTGGGCTTGGCATTTAATCTGAATCCAGCATTGACCATGATTGGCAAATACTTCTACAAGCGCCGGCCAATAGCTAATGGCATTGCGATGGCGGGCAGCCCAGTGTTCTTGTCCACCCTTGCCCCGTTGAACAGCTGGCTGTTTGATCAGTTTGGGTGGAGGGGCAGTTTCTTCATTCTGGGTGGAGCTTTGCTGAACTGCTGCGTTGCGGGGTCGCTAATGCGGCCCATTGGACCAAAACCACAACCTGCCAGTCCAAAAGAGGATGGCGAACCCAAACCTCAAGAGAAAAAAACATGCATTCAGACCATCAACAGCTTCCTGGATCTGACCCTGTTCACTCACCGAGGCTTCTTGCTGTACCTGCTCGGAAATGTCATCATGTTCTTCGGCCTCTTTGCACCCCTTGTGTTCCTCAGTAACTATGCGAAGAGTAAAGAGATTTCCAAGGATAAGGCTGCGTTCTTGTTGTCCATCCTGGCCTTCACTGACATGATCGCTCGGCCGTCCATGGGCCTGGTGGCCAACACGCGCTGGGTCCGTCCACGCATCCAGTACTTCTTCGCCGCGTCTGTGCTGTATAATGGCGTCTGCCACTTGTTGGCACCACTCTCCACCGATTACGTGGGTTTTGCCATTTATGCTGTGTTTTTCGGTGTGGCTTTCGGCTGGCTGAGTTCCGTGCTGTTTGAGACTCTCATGGACCTGGTGGGCGCTCAGAAGTTCTCCAGTGCTGTCGGGTTGGTCACCATTGTGGAGTGTGGGCCTGTGCTGCTGGGTCCTCCGTTACTGGGTAAGGCTGAGTGTAAATCTTTTTCACTTAAAGGTCAACACAAAAATGGCAATTGACTTACCCTCATGTCATTCCAAACCAGTATGACTTTTCTTCCACGATACGAAAAACAATATGCTGGTAACCAAACAGTTTTGGTCACCATTGACCATTTTATGTTCCACAGAAAAAAGTAAGTCATTCAGGTATGGACATTAGGGTAAATGATGACAAAATTTTCCCTTTAACATTTATTTTTGTTAAATGTTGATGCACGTTTAAATGAATATATAAAGTGCTTGAATATTCAGTTTAATTGAATTATTTATTATTAATAAATGTATTAATTTTAGGAGTGTCATTTTAGTTGAACATCAACATTTTAAGGGTACATTTTATATTTTTTATCAAAAATATTCATATATAAAATGAAATATATGTAATGTGATAATGTGTAAAATGCTTGAATATTTGGTTTAATTATTTCTGAATTTAAAGGGTATTTTTGTCAAACATAGTTATATAACACTAAATACTGCTATATTAATATTAATGGTTTTAATCATTAAAATCTCATCAACTAAAAGGTTATTACTAAAATTAATGAACATAACATGACAGTATTGACTAAAAGAACATTTTTTAACAAATATATTAATATATACATATTAAAATGAAAAATAATAAATATTTTAAAGGGATGATTACTACAATTAAATATGTAAAATGCTTAAATATTTGGTGTAAAATGCTTGAATACAAATACGAATAAATATGACAAAATGTAAAAAATACTTTTATCAAAAATATAAATAACATTTTATATTAATTTTATAATAAATATAAAAATATTCAAAGTAATTTTAATATTAATTAATGTTGTTATTATTACTGTTACTAAAATGAGTATGACTTAATAAAATGATTACATTTAAACTAAAATGGACTAAATTTGAAAGATTTTTATCTAAAGTCAAATATTTAAAATGTAAAAAAAAAAAAAAAAAAAGAAGAAGAAAAAAGCACTGAGCCATTTGAGAGAAGTCTGTGGTCTTCTGGCTCTGTGACACCATCTAAACGTTGCTGTTTGAGCATCTCAACCAGTTTGTCATGGCAACATTGGCTCAACCAATGGCGTGAGATTGGGGCTGGACTTTTCTGCTTTAATTGCATTAATCACTGAATGTCATAGTATATCCTGTCCCAGTTAGTGTGCAAAAGAGACTGACAAACCCGTTTGTCCTTTTCTTCCATTTCTGCAGGAAAACTCAATGATGATTACGGTGATTATAAATACACATATCAGGGTTGTGGAGTCATCCTGGTGATTGCCAGCATATTCTTGTTCGTGGGAATGGGAATCAACTACCGGCTAGTGGACAAAGAGAAGAGGGAGAAGGAGAGAAGAGCTAGACAGGAAGAGAGGGATGAAGAGACGAACATAGACAATGCCCTGAACGAGAAGGCAAGGGAGGCGGATGGAGACGCATTGGATGCGTGAGCTGATGTTGCCAAATGAAGAAGGACACGATATTATGTGGACAAACACCAACAATCCATGTCTTTGGGTTTTGACCATCCAAAATGATAATCACAAATAATTTCCCCTCTAATGCATCACTTAATGATTCAGCCAGTGTTTAAAACAGCACAAAGGACTATGATGCCAAGAAATTCTCTTTTATGCAATCCCACACACACCTCAGATGTTACTGTCACTCTCCCAACATTCATCCGAGAGTGTCTCTCTACCTAATTTCACTATTCACCTTTTTGTGGTATATATTATAACCATTACGAGAGCATTCCTAGATTTTGATCACCGTTAAATGAAGCCACAAAATGCACATTTCAAAACTGAGTATTATGATGTGTGACATTTAAGGAAACATGCACACAGAATTTGTCAGTTCAAGACATAGAAGAAAGAGAGATCTTTGACTCTTCTGTCTGTCTTCCGTCTTAGAAATGCAGTGTTTTTGGATTAAAGGTCATTATTATATGTAGGATACACATTTTTGTTTTCTTTTTTTTTTTAAGTTGAGTGTGAAGTTTTTTTGTTTTATGATATGTATGTAGTCTTCCCTGTTGTGATTGGCTGGTATAAAATAGTGCCAGGCTTTGCTAGGCTGCCATATAAAGGCAAAACACAGAAATTATGTCAAGACTGATTACGTATTTGGATTGATTTGATATCAACTATTGTTCTCTGAACATAGTTTAGGAAATCCGGTCTGTCACGGGACAGATCATAAACTTGAATTCACTCATGAAATAGGGCAAAATGTGTTTTGCCTTTGCATGGCAGAAGTATTCGCGGTTCGTTTAATTCAAGTGCAGTTTAATGTATTTTTTGACAGGCTGCTTCCTGCTCTGGTGGTCTCATGATCTCACACTGGTTATCAAACTCTCTACTCACTGTACTGTAACCATGAAGATTTCTGTGGTTACCATTTTTAGGAGCTGCAGCAGACACAATGTCGCAAAGGTCTTGTTTTCATTCGAGACACTTCACATGAAAAGTCTGCCAGAGATGTGCTTCAGCTTCTCTGTTTCATGTGGCATTTAGTGAAGATGATGATTTCACTAGGGTAAACTACATTCAAACAGGGGATCCTTTTAAAATTGTGTGTTCACTTAGCTTTTGGACCACGTTGTTTTTCAATGTGTAGACTAAAATGTTTTAATTACGGTTGCCAACTGATCCTGTGCCTTAATTAGGTGCCTTTCGATCTACATACAGGTATTTGTATTTAACAGCCATACGTGTAACGATACAACTCCTGACCCCCTTTTTTTACAGAGCTTTTTGCAATGTCAGAAGGATGTGTAGTGATTTTAATTTGATAGTCTGCTATTAATTTGCTCTTTTCTGTCATACTAAGGGGAGAGTAGAGTGCTTCATTTCAAACTGAGCCAGCAACAAACGGTACTGAATTTGTGTTGGCTAGAGATAAAGAAGACTTCATTTCAAGTTCTGCTAGTGTTAAGCTGCACTCGCGTTTATTTGCAAAACGTAGGTGCTTATTCTTTTTACAAACTCAAATAGGTGAAGGAATATTCTTGAAGTTTCCCAAGCCATCCTATTCCTTCTGCTTTGTAGATTCGCCGAGCACGTGGAAAACAACACGACTCTCGAGTCTGCAAAAAGAAGATTTAGCAGATCTCAAACATCGTGACAGTTTTTGGTTTTCTAGAGTGAGCCAATTTCAGGTGAAAACATTGAAACAAAAGGGAGGAAACACCAGCACCTGCTGGCTGCTGTCGTTCATCGTGATGCTGCGGTCAAAGATGCTGGTTCACTGCCGTTTCTGTGTTTCAGCGAAGGTGTAGCCTACATCTGTTCTAGCGTTGTTGTTTAGTCACAGCAGATGGCAGATAGTGCACTTTAATTAGGTACATTTAAGGTGAAATTCATACTCTTCTTGAGTTTTGCACACGTAGCATTCACAGTGTAAGGCAATTTATGTAACTTTTTTTCCTGAGTAGAAATGTATCTGTGTGGGTCCTGAGGGATGTGTGCTTGTATACAGTTCTCTGGTGTGGCGGAGTTGGTAATGTAATCTCAGAGCTCGGCTGAATCATAGCAGCTGTGAGACAAAACAGTAGAAAGAGAATCGGAGCCGTTAACGACTCATTTTCAGTCTCTTAGGTAAGATCGGTATCGTTGCTCTGACTGCACTCCTCGTACAGGATCAGAGCTGTCTGAACTCTACTCCACTTTTGTGTGCAGGTGGATTTCTTATTAGTGTTGGTAATTGTGTGAAGGAAAATAGGCTACTGCTGTATAGAGAAAATGGACCACCCTGAAAAAATGCATTGAAAATGGTAAAGCCTGTTTACTCTTCTCATTTTTCCATCATAAAAGTTGAACGTATTTTCAAAAGTATTCCCACTGTTTCTTGTGGGTCGATGTTACACTAACAAACGTGCTTTTAAAATGTCTCCTGTCAGAAAGACAACTGATTCAGTTGGAGAGACAGGGTTAGGACGTATGTATTTGTGTGTGTGTGTGTGTGTGCACAGAGATTCCATGCAAATTCACGATTTCATGATTAATTTAGGAGAGTGGGTAGAGTCGGGCCCTTAAGGTATTTAGGGCAGAGGAAAAATATATTTTTAGGTATTTTAAACAATATTACGTGTGAAATTTTGTATGTTTTGATTTGTGTGTGTGGATGAGCAAGTCAATAAACTTTTTAAAAAATGTGAACGTGTTATTACTGTGTGAGAAATATATCAATTCTGATAAAATAATCATTGCTTGGTGCTTCTAGGTTATGATGGGGCTGGGAGACTTTTTTTTGCTCAAAAAAAGAAACTACTCTGACAGATATTCACTAAAGTCAGTTTCTATGTAGACAGGTACCTCTTAAATCTTAAAGTTATTGAACATTTCCACCATATGAAAAAAATGTCTAATGGTAATGAGGCATGTTGTCACTATATGGGGGCACAATAGAATGTGGCAATAAGCTCAATTTTAATAGTACAGCAATTATGAAAATATAAAAGGCGCTAAACAAAAATATCAACTTGTGTACATTACACATATGTGTGTGTGTGTGTGTACACTGCTGTTCAAAAGTTTGGGATCAGTAGATTTGTAATGTGTTATAAAGAAGTGTCTTCTGGTCATCATGGCTGTATTTATTTGACCAAAAATACAGAAAAAACAGGAATATTGTAAACTATTATTACCATTTAAAATAATGTTTTTCTATTTTAATATACATATTAAAATATAATTTATTTCTGTGATGCAAAGCTGATTTTTCATCATCATTACTCCAGTCTTCAGTGTCACATGATCCTTCAGAAATCATTCTAATATGCTGATTTACATTTGCATTACATTTAGTCATTTAGCAGATGCTTTTATCCAAAGCGACTTACAAATGAGGACAATGGCAGCAACAAGAGATCAACAAAATCAACAAGAGAGCGATGATAAGCAAGTGCTATAACAAGTCTCAGTTAGCTTAACGCAGTACACATAGCAAGGTTGGTTTTTTTTTACTATGTAATAAAAAGAAAAAGATAGAATAGAAAAAGAACAGAGCAAGCTAGTGTTAGAGGCCCTTTTTTCTTTTGTTAATTGTATAATAAATAAAAACAAAACAAATAGATAGATAGATAGAATACAAAAAAAACTAGTGGGGGTTTTTTTTTAAGAAAACAAGCAGTTAGTAAATTAATAGAGTGCAAGTCTAAAAGGGGCACGTTTTTTTTTTTTTTTTTAAAGAATTAAATTAGAAAAGTGTGTGCTAGAGTTAGAGGGTCAAATAAAGATGGAAGAGATTCTTGAAGATGGACTCAGCTGCTCGGACCGAGTTGGTTGGTTGATTTATTATCAATGTTGGAAACAGCTGTGCTGCTTCATATTTTTTGGTACTTTTTTCAGGATTATTTGATGAATATTTAAAGCAGCACTATGTAACTTTTGGCGCTCTAGCGGTTAATAAACAGAACTGCACACATCCCGCGGAAGAACATTCTAACCGGAGCTACTTCTCTAAGTTTATGTTTATGGCGATTCACGCAGGTATGTGTTACTCCGCAGCGGTGACGACCCGACCAGGCTACAATAGTCCAAATATAAGTACTTAGAAGTGTACCGTAGTGATTCGGAATAAGACAAAAACGCGGTTTGGAAGATGAATTCATGATGTACTCGCTCATTATATACATTTAGCAAATTTTGAACAGAAAAAGTTACATAGTGCTGCTTTAAAGAGAACAGCGTTTATTTAAAATATAAATCTTTTCTAACAATGTAAGTCTTTATTATGACTTTTTATCAATTTAACACGTCCTTGCTAAATAAAAGCATTCATTTCTTTCAAAAGAAAAAAATTACTGATCTCAAACTTCTGAATGGTAGTGTATATTGCAACAAAAGATTTCTATTTTGAATAAATGCTGTTCTTCTTAGCTTTTTATTAATCAAAGAATCCTGAATGAAGTATCACAGGTTGCAAAAAAAAATATTAAGCAGCAAAAGTGTGTCCAATATTGATAATAAATAAGAAATAATGATTTCTGAAGGATCATGTGACACTGAAGACTGGAGTAATGATGCTGAAAGTTCAACTTTGCATCACAGGAATAAATTATATTTTAATATATATTAAAATAAAAAAAACATTATTTTAAATTGCAATAATATTTTACATTACTGTTTTTTCTCTCTCTGTATTTCCGGTCAAATAAATGTAGCCATGATGAGCAGAAGAGAATTCTTTAAAAAAAAAACATTACAAATCTTAATGATCCCAAACTTTTAAACCGCTGTGTATGTACATTTTTATTTATTTTATTTATTTAAAACAATGCACTTACCCATCTGCTGTAGTGTGTTTCTGGTATTTATGTATGGAATAAATTATATTTTAATATATATTAAAATAAAAAAAACATTATTTTAAATTGCAATAATATTTTACATTACTGTTTTTTCTCTCTCTGTATTTCCGGTCAAATAAATGTAGCCATGATGAGCAGAAGAGAATTCTTTAAAAAAAAAAACATTACAAATCTTAATGATCCCAAACTTTTAAACCGCTGTGTATGTACATTTTTATTTATTTTATTTATTTAAAACAATGCACTTACCCATCTGCTGTAGTGTGTTTCTGGTATTTATGTATTTTTTTTATGGTACCACTATTTGTATAGTCTTTCTTTAATTGGTTCCACCAATCTATTGCCATTTGCAAGTCGCTTTCATAAAAGCATCTGATAAATGAATGAATGTAAACTTAGAATATTCATAATATTTGACAACTATAGCACTAGCATGCCTGAAAACATCTTCACAGTTCACCTTCATTGTACAGATGGAGAACAGAATTTATGTAAATGTTGGCCTATATTGTATATATCTGAAAAACAAAATCACTGCTTTGCATATTAATTAGTCGTTTGACTGAAAACTTCAACGTTACTGACAAATAACCCTGTAGTGGTCAAGAGGGGGAAACTTTTTAAAGTGAAGTGTCATTATCACGGAAATAGATAGGCTCCTATAACTTCACCACTAGATGGCTATAAACTTGCAGATCCCGTTTTACCTGTATTTCCAGACAAAGTATGTACAATACAATAAGTATATAAGCATGTAATATATCTATTGAAATACAATAATAACGCTATTGTTAAAAAACTAAACTATAAACTGTGTATATAAAAACACGAAACAAATATCAAACATAAAAATCTCAGGTGCAGACAAATCCTCCTCAGCTGCCCGAGGTCGTCTCCATGGGAACCAATATGAAAAACACAAACTCAAACACAAAGGAAGAGTTATTGCGCGAGCCGATTTGTAATTGGAAAACTGTTGAAACGGCTTGTGGTCAGAAAGGACAAATAAAAGTTCTTGTTTTAATTTAAGCACATTTTGAAGGCTGAAACCGCTGCGAGTAAATGTATCTGGGATGTCGGCCACAATTAACCCGCTAGCAAATCCTAAAGGAGTAAAGAAGCTGTGCGAACTTTGCCAGAAACCTGCTAAACTTCAGTGCACAAAATGCCTGGTCACATTTTACTGGTGAGTCTGGAGCCTTCGGGTTATTCAGTTAACTTGTGTGTTTTTGTCTTTATATTATCCAACCGAGCACCTTAAACTAGTAACGTTACGTAATGCTCCATGGTGTAACTGCGCGTACAGACAGCAGGTGGCACCATAGACACACATGCTCGCATTCTTAGCCGTGTTACTGCAGAGATGGAAAGGTTGAACGAGTTCAAACAGCTGGAGGAGAAATTATGTGCAGAGAGAAGAGAATAGCCAGCCATGCGTGCTTAAACACAACCAGGAAAAAAGAGAAAGAAATACGAGAATGACTGGGAAAATGTATGTGTTTTGTGTGCGTGCGTGGAGTTTCACTTGCTGTTTTTAAAGACGCCACAATCCTCACAACCATCTGCGGCAGGCCAGGGGTATTCAATTGAAGTTCCAAGAGGTCCGGACTCTATATTTCCTTCCCAGTGGAGGTCCGGACAATATATAGGAATAGTCATTATACATTTCCATCTGGCCTCCAGTAATGCTTTGTAAAAGAAAAACAAAAGTCCAAATAGTCATCAAAGATGAGCATATTGGGTCCTCAGAGCCAAATGCCAGTGGCTTCTGAGAATGTTCCTATTAAAAACAAATCCTCAGTTGAGGCCAATTAGATTTGAATACTAAAAGATAAGATCAGATGTTTTATCAAAGCTATTATTATTATTATTAACGTTTAGATAGGCTACATATGTAAGGCAGGAGGCAATGTGTCAGAAAAGATAATGTATGGAGGTTCAGAGTCTTCCTATTTAAGTCTGGACTATTTAATTTTTTGCTTAATCAAAACGCTCTCAACATGAGCAGAAAACAAAGTTAACTTTCAATGTTTAGGTTGTCTTTCCTTGCCATCTACAAATAATTTTCCAAATTTGAACAATTATATGTTTATTTTTAAAATGCTCTTTAACATAGGCTACTGATTAATAATGTTAAATGTCCATGAAAAAAATGCTATGTCTCAAACCTGGTTTGAACGGTCAGAGTCTGATAGGTAAAAAGAACTATATTTGCAGCATTGTTGTTTTCTGCAGCGTTTTAGCAAAAGTGCTGGTCTAAAAATCTATTTTGCTGGTCACTGTGTTTCTGCTTCTGTTTTTCAAATAACCGCAGACCACGACACAGTGTCAACATGCAAATATCTATCTTATAACTTGGACAGAAACGGTTTGTTCTTTGACGGGCAGCTCTTAAAGAGATAGTTAAATGAAATATGAAAACAATGTCTTTATTTACTCAGCCATGTTGTTTCGAACCTGTATGGCTTGCTTGCTTTGTTTTGTGTCTGTTTCACAAAAAGAGATTGACACAAATGTGTGACATAGGTATTACAACGTGAATATGGATACTTTTTCTATGAAGGACCAAACCTGCAGAAATGATAAATAAATAAAAATAACAGGGAAAAAAATAAAAAACAAATGACTTGATAAAAACAAATATAGTTCATTTGTTATCAAATTTAACCTAGAATTTCTTCTGCTTCTCAGAATAATTTGTATTTTTTTAAATACTTTGTATTTTCCTTTTATGTATTATATTATTTAGCGTAGTTATTTTTTATTCTTTTAACTTTTATTTACTTCTCATTTATTTTTATATTTATTGAATTAATTTATGTACAGTATGTATTTATTATTAAATTAATGTATTCAGACGTTTATTTATTTTAGTTCATTTAAGTTAAAAAGAATAAAAATAAATACAGAAAATAATACATATAGGAAAAAGGTAATAAAAAATAAATTCAGGATTACATTTTATTACAAATGAACTATATTTGTTTTTATCAAGTAGTTTATTTCTTTATTTTCCTGTTATATTTCTTTATTTTTCATTTCTGCAGGTTTGGTCCTCCATATACTTCCTGTGTCCTCATAAACCAAATGTCTTAAAAACATACTAAACGGTGTTTCTACAATCTACAAATCTACAAATGCAGAAAGTTTTGTTTGAGGGGTAGGTTTAGGGTAAGGGGATAGAAAAAACAGTTTGTACAGTATAAAAACCATTACGCCTAAGGAGAGTCCCCATAAACCACATATACCAACATGTGTGTACACACGTGTACCTACTTATATCTTAAGGACAAATTTGTGCCTAGAAATTAGCTAAATCTGACAAGACCTCCCAAAACCCCCTTTTGGTAGCATCCAAGTTTGTAAAAAGGGTATTTAAAAATATATATAATAAAGTAAATAACTTTTTTAATTGAAAAAATGGCATAATGTTTTCTATTGGAGTAATATTGAGTCTATTTCAATAAAGTATTTGGAATGTGTGTGTGTGTGTGTGTAGTAACTCTGACCACCAGCAAACTGACTGGACCAGTATTCATGGGAAAGTCTGTCCGTTGCTGGTATCTATCCACACACCTGCACCATTCAGCACACTGCAGTCTGACCGAGAGCACCACCACAAAGAAACACTGAAGAAACAGGTTTGTATGTGCTCCAGCAAGTAAACTGGGGCAAATGGTATGCCAACAGGGCAGATGTCTAACTAGTCAGTGTTTTTGACACTAGAAACATCTAGTAGAGATTGCTCATTTGGAGTCGCAGAGGTGGGTGTCCAAGAAGAGGTTCCAGGATGTGTTACCGGCCGCTCTCCTATTCTTGCGCTGGGCCATGCGGGTGTACGGATCCTGTGCTGTTGAACTGGTACCAGCTTATCTACTGCTCGCACAGGCTAATATAGGTGAGACATGCATAGAAACACATCTGCAAAAATCAACACAGTGCTGTGCTAATATTAAATCTCTCCAAGGTCCATTAGATTGAGAGCCACTGGTAGACTTCACAGTTCTAGAACCTCTCCAGAGGCTGACCGCCAATAACTTCCACTTCAGGAGAGAATGGAAACAAACGTTTGCTAAAATCTGAGGCTGGCGTTGAGCCCTGTTTACTTCCTGTGGGACGGTCTATGGGTGGGCTCAAGGGCGGTGCTTGGACATGAACTGAGGGGAGAGACAATTGTTATGTAATTCAGGATGTGGCAGACTAGTCATGCAGAGGTGTACTGTCTCAATGAGAAACTCTTGCATTGAAAGCTCTTCGTCATGAGCTCCAGCTCCACTTCTGTGACAAGAAAATCAAAAAGTTAGTTTTTTAGTAAAACATTTTTTATTTCCTTTTCAAACAAATGCTGTTCTCTGAACTTTCTTTTCATCAAAAAATCCTGACCAAAAAAATCATGGTTTTCACAAAAATATGAAGCAGTACAATAATGAAAATAATAAGAAATGTTTCTTCAAATCAGCATATTAGAATGATTTCTGAAGGATCGTGTGACACTGAAGACTGGAGTAAACTAATGACTGCTGAAAATTCAGCTTTGCCATCACAGAAATAAATTACTTTTTAAAATATATTAAATATAAAACAGTTGTTTTAATGAATTATTAAATTGTTATAATATTTCACAGTACTGTTTTACTGTATTTTTAAACAAATAAATGCAGCCTTGGTGATCATTTGACTTCTTTTAAAAAAAATGTTACAGACCACAGAAAAATGTTTAACAAAATTGCAGAACATGCATAAATTAACAAATAATTTTTTTTATTAAAATTAATTATATTATATATTTTAATTTAAATGATATTATAACATTTTATATTAAAATTAATCCTATAAAAAACTTAATTTCTTTATATAGTTATTAAAAGTTTGCATGATTGTTCCCTTCCATGCATATTAGGAATAAAAGGTTTTAAATACAGAAATATAGCATTGTTTTGTGCTTCTCACAACTAGAGAGATGGCAGACATGACAACATTTCCAGTACGTGAATATAGTGAGCAGCTGATGCTCGCTGGATTTTTTTACGGTGGATTCAGAGGATTTTTTGGGAGTGGAATGATCAGACACCCCTAGGAATGGCCAACTCCCTGGGGAGTGCACTATTGAACTAGGGAGCGGATTGAGACACACCCCTGATAATTAAGCTTCTGTCTATATGGATAGATGGGATGCTTTGTATGCTCAGAATTCTCAGTGGCTGCTTTCAACTTGTTTGACAGATGAGCAAACCAGGCATGAATCTTTAAAACATTGGATGTCTTTTCCAACAGAAACATCAAAGATGGTTGTATTGAGTAGAGAAACCTTCTAATAGGCAGGCTAACGTAAAGTCAAGAGGCATCAAGGACACTTTGTTCATAATGTATGTTGTTTGTGTGTGTTAAGGTTTAGGTTCTCTCTCCCAGGCACATGAGTATCTGTCTAAGGCTGAGTGGACAGTAATGAAAACACCAGGGTGCAGTCACACTGTCCTTCATCAGCTACACAGAACCCTGGGTCGCCTGCACGCTGCCATGGGAAAATACACATCTGCTCTCACTCACTTTGCCAATGACGTATGTCCTAATATGTGTGGAACACTGTCATTGGATTGCATGTACAGAATTATCTGCCATGACTTATTGCTGATGCATGTTTGTGTGGTAATAAATATTAGGGTTTTGTAGGAATATTGCAAGGCCCTTTGAAACACTTACTTGGTCAGTTGTGGCATACTGGCATGAATCATTTAAACTAAAAATCTATATTTTATGTTCATTTATTGATATCATTTATTTATGTGTGTATTAACTACAAAACTGACTACATATTTTTTTTTTCTATGTGTAGGTGTATTATGCCAGTGAAATGTTTGGTTTGGGCAGTACTGTGACATCTGGAGGATATTTTCTTATGGCTGATGTGTTTCTGAAGCAAAACAAGCCTGACATTGCCCATTCGCTCTACACAGAGGTGGGAAAACCCACCATCAGCACACATTGAGACATCTGTCTCTGTAAAATGTCTCTCATCACATTGCGTGCGTGTGTACAGGTGGCAAATTCATGGCACACTCACCTGTGTAAGCTGATGGATGGTATCGGGCAGAGCGGCACTCAACCAGAGAAGTGTTTTGGTAAGACAGTAAACCTACACAAAGACACGTCCGCAAACATTATTCATCCAATCAGCATATTTTTTTGTGAAATATAAATATATATATGTACTATTCAAAAGTTTGGGGTCAGTTTTTTTTTTAACAAAATGAGTACTTTTAATGTGCAAAGACGCATTAAATAGACCAATTTGCAAACAGTGATGACCTTTTTGTTGGCTGAGCCTATCTAGTGGCAGAAAATGAGTTTTAAAGTAGCAGTCTATGGAAGAAATGTAATTTTAAGATTTATATTTCAAAATTCAGACTTTTTTACACTACCAGTCAAAGGTTTTTGAACAGTAGGATTTTAAAGTTTTTTAAAGAATTCTCTTCTGCTCACCAAGCCTGCATTTATTTGATCCAAAATACAGCAAAATCAGTAATATTGTGAAATATTTTTACAATTTAATTATTTACTATTTAACTATTCGAATATATTGTAATATGTAATTTATTCCTGTTATTTCAAAGCTGATTGTTTTAGCGTCTTTACTCCAGTCTTCAGTGTCACATCATGATCCTTTAGAAATCATTCTAATATTCTGATTTGCTGCTCCAAAAACATTTATTATTATTATTATTGCACTTATTTGGTCAGTTGTGGCATACTGGCATGAATCATTTAAACTAAAAATCTATATTTTATGTTCATTTATTGATATCATTTATTTATGTGTGTATTAACTACAAAACTGACTACATATTTTTTTTTTCTATGTGTAGGTGTATTATGCCAGTGAAATGTTTGGTTTGGGCAGTACTGTGACATCTGGAGGATATTTTCTTATGGCTGATGTGTTTCTGAAGCAAAACAAGCCTGACATTGCCCATTCGCTCTACACAGAGGTGGGAAAACCCACCATCAGCACACATTGAGACATCTGTCTCTGTAAAATGTCTCTCATCACATTGCGTGCGTGTGTACAGGTGGCAAATTCATGGCACACTCACCTGTGTAAGCTGATGGATGGTATCGGGCAGAGCGGCACTCAACCAGAGAAGTGTTTTGGTAAGACAGTAAACCTACACAAAGACACGTCCGCAAACATTATTCATCCAATCAGCATATTTTTTTGTGAAATATAAATATATATATGTACTATTCAAAAGTTTGGGGTCAGTTTTTTTTTTAACAAAATGAGTACTTTTAATGTGCAAAGACGCATTAAATAGACCAATTTGCAAACAGTGATGACCTTTTTGTTGGCTGAGCCTATCTAGTGGCAGAAAATGAGTTTTAAAGTAGCAGTCTATGGAAGAAATGTAATTTTAAGATTTATATTTCAAAATTCAGACTTTTTTACACTACCAGTCAAAGGTTTTTGAACAGTAGGATTTTAAAGTTTTTTAAAGAATTCTCTTCTGCTCACCAAGCCTGCATTTATTTGATCCAAAATACAGCAAAATCAGTAATATTGTGAAATATTTTTACAATTTAATTATTTACTATTTAACTATTCGAATATATTGTAATATGTAATTTATTCCTGTTATTTCAAAGCTGATTGTTTTAGCGTCTTTACTCCAGTCTTCAGTGTCACATCATGATCCTTTAGAAATCATTCTAATATTCTGATTTGCTGCTCCAAAAACATTTATTATTATTATTATTGTTGAAAACAGCTGAGTAGAATTTTTTCAGGTTTCTTTGATGAATAAAGTTCAGAAGAACAGCATTTATATGAAATATAATTTTTTTGTGACATTATAAATGTCTTCATCATCACTTTTGATCAATTTAAAGCATCCTTGCTAAATAAAAGTATTAATTTCTATCATTTCTTTCCCCCCCCCAAAAATAAATAACAATTATACCAACTCCAAGCTTTTGAATGTATAGAGTATAATGTTACAAAAGCTTTTTATTTCAGATAAATGCTGATCTTTGGATCTTTCTATTCATCAAAAAATTCTGAAAAAAATGAACTCAACTGTTTTAAATATCGATAATAATAATAAAAATGTTTCTTGAACAGCAAATCATGTGAATGATTTCTGAAGGATCATGTGACACTGAAGACTGGAGTAATGATGCTGAAAATTTAGCTTTGATCACAGGAATAAATTACATTTTAAATCTATTCAACTAGAAAGCAGTTATTTTAAATAGTAAAAATATTTCACTAGTACTGCTTTTGCTGTATTTTAGATCAAATAAATGCAGGCTTGGTGTGCAGAAGAGAATTCTTTAAAAAACATTAAAAAAATCTTAGAGTTTAAAAACCTTTGACTGGTAGTGTAATCTCAGAATTCTAATAAGAAAAATCAGCTGGTCATTCTCTTTTCTCCTCGGCTCAGAATATATCCCACACTTCTGGCTTTTTTCCTCAGAATTGACAAACTCGCAATTGTTGAGTTAAATCGAGTTATAAAGTCCGAACTAGGAGATATAAACTTGCATTCGCGAGAAAAAACAAACAGAATTGTGAGATAAAATGGGTCAATGTTATGTTAAATTATATAGGTTTAAATAGTATTTCATGCTGTAACTGTAGGGCTATTACAATATGTCCCCTATTACCTGCAAATGAGAATATTATGTAGACATCAAATGTATGCTTTAAAATTAGGGTAATCATAGCAGGTTTCATCCATAGTCTGTTCATTTTAACCTCCAAATTCAGCTTTGCTGTCACAGTAATAAATTAGATTTTAAAAGTTATTGTAATTTAATTAAATTGCAGTAATGTTTAATAAATGGAGTCTTGTAGGGAATCAGCTTCTCAGTCTTCTCACCAAAACGGTCCACAGTGTTTTGATAATATTCAAGTCATGTGATTGAGCTGGCCAGGGCAGATGTTGAAATTCATCCTAGTGCTTCCAGGTTTTATGATCATGACAGCATATTTATTTTCAATTTTTTTACATTTTAGCATCAGTGTCTGTGATTAACGTTTTAGCAAATTGCAGCTTTTTCATGAATGCTGGCTTTGTGAAGTTGTCTGTGGTCGGTTTTTGCGGAAACGAGGTTCAAGGTCTTCAAGGAATATTGAGATTTGCTGTCACTTTGCAGAAGTAGTTCTGTGTTGTTTGAACAGTCCTTCTTAGTGTTTGACAGTCTCTATCTTTCACTTTTTGCCCACTGTTCTTCTTCTCTAATGAGGTCTTGCCATGCTTTCTGTATGTAGTCATAATCATAAAGACTGTTGATCCTAAAACACCAAACAATTAGGCCGTTAGGGTTACAGATGCTCCTGATAAACAGGCTCTCTTTTCGGAAATCTGACAACTCACTCATTTCACAGACGGCTTGTATCATAAATATCGAATAAAAATAAACAGTTAAGTTTTATTTTTATAATTAATAGGTAAATATGGATAAATTCATGCACATTACACTTTGAACTTACAAATAAAAACTTAATTTTAATATGTAATTGATATCTTGATATATATATTTGTTTATTGTTACGATGTCATGAAATGTCATGTGTATGGTGTGGTTTTAATCTATCATAAGCTTTTAAAGCAGCCTGTTTCGGTTCCAGCATGATTGTATGTTTATGTATTAGTTTGTATGAAGTTAGCGTTATATTTACAGCCATGAGGTTGTGTCCTAGAGCAAACCCTAGTTTATTCCACTGATAACTAAGATCAAACATGACACAGCCGTGAGTACGTGCAGCGCTCCTGCCCTAGTTCTCTCTCTAAGCCTATTAACCTCAGCGCTGTTTTGGCTAAGTCTTCCAGTGACGTGGCTGGCTGGTCAGTGGTCAGTACGCTTGATCCTTTCTGCTTTCTGGCCTCACACTGACTGACCCAAGGTCAGTAGACTGGCGCCGGTTCTGCCCTCTGGCTAGCCACATCATATTATAACTTCTGACCAGATGACTCTATAGCAGGAAACAGCTTAGCCGGCCTTGCTCTGCATGTCCTGGTGGATGCGACTGCACAGAGCTACAACAACAAGCATGACCTGATATCAATCAGGGACACAGACTAGCCAGAGTTTTATTCTTTTTGTCTCTGTGGAGCAGACAGTCATATCGTATCATTGGTCAGTGAAGTCATACATCCAACTATGCTCACTGTTCAGTCAACCAACTTCAGTAACACTTTACAATACAGTTTAATTTTCTAATGTTTGGTAATGCAGTAGGTATCAGCATAATTATTTTAATTTTGTTTATAAATGAATACATTTGTTTAATAAGTGCTAATTTATAAAAATTCTACTGTTCATTGTGCATTTATGTTTGTTCGTAATACTTGACTTTTAATGTTAGAAAAATAACAAAAACGAATGATATAAGCTAATATTTGTTTAATTATTTTAATTACAATTTAAATTAATTAATTTATTAAATATATTAATTTTCTATTTTCTTATATTCTAAAAATGATTTATTCCTGTGATGGCAAAGCTGAATTTTCAGCAGCCGTTACTCTAGTCTTCAGTGTCACATGATCCCTCAGAAATCATTCTAATATGCTGATTTGCCGCTCAAGAAACATTTCTTATCAATGTTCAAAACTCTTGTTTTTCTAGAAACCGATAAATTTTTTAATTCTTTGATGAATAGTAGGTAAAAAAAAAAAGATATATAGTTTTTTTTTTTTTACATTATACATTTATTTAGTCACTTTTGATCTGTTAAATGTGTCCTCGCTGAAAAGTAATATTAATTTCTTTTGAAAAAATCTCTCACTGACCAGACTTCTGAACAGTGGTGTAAATATGAGGAAACATTTTTATGCAATAAAATGATTTGGAAAAAAATTATTCATAGACTAGGTTGTTGGCGGATTTCTGAACTGGCACCAGGGAGTGTTAATGCTTCTCCTAATGGACCAAGCTCTAGCATGGTTATCAGCCAATTCAGACAATCTTAAAGTGGTCAAATATTGGCTGATTTATCAGTCTGGCCAACAATGTCAGATAGGAGCAACTCCCTATAAGGGGATGCGTTTCAAAACAGTAGATGATAGATCATGTTTCTGAATATCTCCTAGAGATTATTCAACAGAAATCATCATTCAGTCTCTTACAGATAGATCTGGTTTCTCAGAATCAAACTGCTGCACTCACCTGTGACTATTATAGCGGACACTGATCTTCCTCTTTTGTGTGTAGATGAGGCCCAGTGTGTGGAGGCTGATCAGATGTTGAGATGTATCTTGGAGTTTGAGGAACAGTGTGTGAAGCCTCGCCCTGACCAGTCAGCCATGTTGGCACATTCTCTGGCTATGCTGTGGTTACTATGCAACAACTACACCAAGGTAAACAAAGATTGACCAATTAAAATATTCCATTCAGACACTTCATGAGACATTTACAGTATGCTCTTGAATTCAACACTGACCTCCTCACCAGTGCTCTGGATAATCAAATCATAGTAAATAACCAAATGTCTAATTAAATTGAAAGTTCTGAGGTGGAATGTTTGAATTCGACTTGGATGGATGTCTTGCTGTGAACATGTTTAAGTTCTATTGACTTCAGTGCAGATTAACACTAAAGGCTAAAGCCATGATGAAAATTGACAGTCAGACTGTTCCGCTGCTGTTGTAATGGGATTCTCCTTTAGCATTCCTCCAACTTCCACTACATCTCAGACTAGTTTAAATCCCCAGTTCTTATCGCAAACTTGTTCAAACTCCCAGCTCTCATATCAAACTACAACAAAACTCCCTAATTTATCACTTCACAGCTCTTATATCAAACCGTTAACATCCCATTATTCGTCAAACTACACTAAACTCCCTGAATTAAAACAGCTAAACTTACCACACTATCATATTAAATGGGCGATATTGTTCCGCTCTTCGTGCGTTTGAAAATTAGGTCATCTCAGACTAGTTTAAATCCCCAGTTCTTATCGCAAACTTGTTCAAACTCCCAGCTCTCATATCAAACAACAACAAAACTCCCTAATTTATCACTTCACAGCTCTTATATCAAACCGTTAACATCCCATTATTCGTCAAACTACACTAAACTCCCTGAATTAAAACAGCTAAACTTACCACACTATCATATTAAATGGGCGATATTGTTCCGCTCTTCGTGCGTTTGGAAATTAGGCTTCCTTTTTTGTTATATATTTCTTTTATGTTTTTGTGTTTGTGTATATAGGCATTGGAGTTTGGGAAGAAGGCTGAGGTGTTGATCCAGGGGTTAAGTGAGCAAAACAGACTGAGAGAGTCAATCCATAATCTACTACAACATGCTGAAAAACAGTTGGAATGAGACTGGCCACTAAACTACACACCGCAAACAAATCAAAATGGACCACAATATACAGCACAACAACAGTCAAATTGTCTTCACACTGTACAGTGTTCATATTCATTCATTAAATCCATCGATATTGGGAGATATTGATGTATAATTAAGGTGCAGTCTCATTAGCGAAATTTCGTGGGCAAAAAAAGGTTCATTGTCTAGGTCAATACTGATGTATGAAGCACGGCTCGCACTTTAAATTTTATTTTTTTTTTACTTTTAAACCAAGCAGCTTTCTGTTGGTTAACGCAGTGAATTTGTGAACTCGAACCGGTCACGAAATCTGTGAGAGGAAATATTTCACCCTCATGTAAAATTCCCAAGCGCATGGATTCCTATTGAAATGACTGGATTTTACCCATGAATTCACTAAACAACAGTATGTGTGACCCCACCTTTAGTGAGGCAGGCTACAGCAAAAATCTTGCAAAAGATCAGTGGAAAAGGCCCGTCAACTGTGATGCGAGATAAATAGACAAGCTGACACGGTTTCATGTTCTGGACATTTTTAAAATGTCTTTATTGGTATTATTGGTATTATTACGTAATGACACATAACATCAATGTTGGCGTTCTATCACTAGTAATTTCTTGTTTTAAATTATACAACATTGCTTGGTTTTTGGCATTTAGGTTCCCACTAAAAAAAAAAAAAAAAAGCAATGAAATGAACACATGGAGTCTCAAAACATTTCCCTTTTCCATACCAGAAAGCTAAGTGTTCATTAGCAGCAACTGTTGCTTTTTATTTTTAGTTATGTGATGCTAAGTTAATTGCCAACTCACAAGTCAGAAGGGTATAGTGGTACCTTATCAATCAGATTGAGCACTACTTCATATAGACCAGTTTTCCACGGCGTAAGATCTGATAATGCTATTTTAGCTCTCAGTTCAGATGCGTGTTTTTGAACTGCTGTCATGGAAGTTTGACCCCTCTATTCTGAATTTGCATTTTAAGTTTTGGAGTCACACAGGTTTGATACTTAACATAAGGGCAGAAGAAACTTCCTGTTGTATCCTATGAAGTGGAGGCAGAGCTTGTAAGTTCGACAACCATATAGTGCGTTATCGCGAAAACACGGAAAAGTGTCAGTTTACAGGGACACTTGTTCTTGTGTGGGAAGAGGTGGAAGGTGCAAGTATCTGGTTGCATGGAATGATGGAACACATCACACACACAAGACAGCAAATCACAACGCTTGAGAGGGGGTGGTGAGAAGAGTGGGGTCAACGGCTGTTCAGTCAAACTTACATTAAAACCCTTCGTCACTCCAAGCAAGATTAATCGCATATAAACCAGTTTTTAAAAAAAATTATAAATTAGGAAAACAAAAGACAACAGAACACTAAATATTATAAAATGAACAAGAAAAGAGTGCATGTAACCATCAGGTCTCACAGCATCCATTTCTTAATATTTTAGAACGCTTTGTCCTTTTGTTTATTGATACACATAGGCAGGACTGTCTAGCATGAATATGTCATTTTTCCAAGGAGAGGAATTTGATCAAGGCTGCTTCCCTGAGTTGACTCTAAATTTCAGATCTATATTGCATCTTAATGTAAACCATTTCATCGAAAGTCCGAACTCATATTTAATTGATCTAAACTCTATGACGTCTAACATTGTAAACCATTCTGAGCTGGTTTGGATTGTGAGCTTGGTCCACTTTAGATTTGCTGTATGGAATCCTTAAGACTAGATGTGAATTTCATTATATGCAAATATGCTGAAATAAAGAATTTTGGGATTTTAGGACACTTCCAGATAGAAAAAGGGACATTAATAGAGTTGCTTAACTTTAAATAGAAGAATTAGACTTGTGAGAAATGTGTGGTATACAGATATAACGGAGTACAACAGATAAATGTAAATTTAGCTCAAATCAATACAATTCCTGGTTTTCTTTCAGGTTATCATTGGCTGTTAGACCACTGGGCTGAATTAAGAGCAGTTGTAGTACCCGTTTGAGTTGACACTTCAGTTTTATTGTTGCAGTATTTTTGTACAAAAAAGTCGTTGAAGACGAACAGCTTATTCATCATCAGCACTTAGTGTTGGCAAAACGTTCAGCCCTTGTGGTAAAAACATTAGTATTTAAAAGTCTACTTGCTCTGTTTCTCTGCAACTCACTGTTCAGACTCTATGTGGGAAATTGCTTTTGGGGTGGCAGACATGCAGATTGGCGAGTGGTCATTAGCAGATCTGAGTAGTAGACATTGGGAAAAGAAGCTCAGTTTTTAGTATATTTTCTTTCATACAATTGATCCTTAAGCAGATTGCTTTAACCAGTTCAAAATGGTGGATTTCTAAAATGGCCGCTTCATTCAGTCATTAGCAGATCTGAGTAGTAGACATTGGGAAAAGAAGCTCAGTTTTTAGTATATTTTTCCGCTCTCAATATCTTTCATACAATTGATCCTTAAGCAGATTGCTTTAACCAGTTCAAAATGGTGGATTTCTAAAATGGCCGCTTCATTCGCAGAATTACCAGACAGCAGATGCCTGTGAGAAAAAAGTTCCTATGGGCCAAATCCTCACTTACACATTAAGAAAGGTAATTCAAAACGGGTCCCACATCAGTCATTCAATTTTACTGACACCAGCAAAGCAAATGAAACCTTTACGCTTGTCTGATCAGCAGTAATTCATTTACTACAGGCAGTCACTGCAACAGACTAAAATAACTCATACTCATTCATGCTTTTAAAAGAGTTAGGATGGATGAGAATATTCACAGCTTTCCAGTTTTTGTTCTTGCTGTCCCTCTACGTGTCTGTCTGTGTGGGCTTTTTGAGGGCAGGGAGGTATGTGCCTTTGTATCCTGGTGAGCAGTTGAAATTTGGGTCCATTCGGTTTCCTCTTTCTCGCCCCATGCATGCAATACATTATACCTTCAGCCAGGCTTTACCACAAGGTTTGTAACAGACAAAATTCATTCATTCTCTCCCTATAATACAGACTTTAATATGTCCTTAAGTGTATGTCAGTATGTGTGTACCCTAACCCACAGTATGTACATGAGAATCCAGTTGATGGTAGCTGAAAGGTTACATTTGGGAATCACGTCCCGGTAAAACCACTCTACAGTGCATGCACCCTCAAATTACAGTGACAAACACATATTCAGCTGGTGCACTACAGCCAGGCTGGAGTGTACACTAGCTAGTGCACTTCCAACTGCACTGTACACTTGTATAATTCTATAGTCCGTCAATGAGAAGAAACATCAGGGGAGCAGCCTCAGACGGGGGTTTACAGGGAGGGTTAGTATGATTACACGTGTGCATCTGTATGTAAAGTGTCCACTTCAGTTTGTTTCGCTCTTTGATGGTCGTGTGTGTGTGTGCATATGTGTAAGTGTGTTTGTGGCTGTAATTCCAACTCACTCAGTCAACAGTTTTATCTCACTCGCGAGAAGGGAGTTGATATTGTAGGCGGGATCTGCAGTGACGGGAGCGGGGCCTGTTTCCGTTAGATCCACCTCGCTCTCGCTGGAGGTGGAGCTTGTGCTCATGGTGGAGACGGCGTCAGTGATGGCACAGGTAGCGCCGGGTGGGCAGATCTCATTGGGAATACACACCTCCGTGGGGATTATCACCTCGGTCGGGATACACACCTCGTGCTCGCTGCTGGTTTCGCTGGTGCTGGAGACCACAGAAAGCAGCGACATCTTCCTGCTGAGGCGGCTTGGCAGAAGGGAGAGGATATAGTCGGCCACGATGCCTGCCACGTCCATCCCACAAACCTGGTCGAACGCGATGAAGCCCACGTTGGCGTTGGCCTCGCACACCAAAAAGGAACCGTCGTTTAGCTGCAGCAGGTCAACTCCACAGACATCCATCCCCAAAATATTGCACACCTGCACAGCCAGTTGCTTCCCCTGCTCACTGAGGGGGCACATCATTCCCACCCCACCTATCAAAAAAAAAAAAGAGCAAAATCATGAGCAGGGAGGCTAATGGCAAATTATGGGCAGTTGTTGTAAGCAAAACTAAAAAAAAAAAAAAAATTTTTATTGGTAACTGAAATGAATCCGAAATATTAAATGAAAAACTTCAATTACTAATGCTGTGATAGAAAAAAATAAAGCCATAGAGAAAGAAAAGAGAAAAATAAGCCACAAAAATTCTACATATTATACATAATGAAAGTTTACATCACAAGTCAAATATTTTAGGGGAGGTGAGTGTGCGATTGCATACCCAGTGAGCAGTTGCTCTGCATGCGTCCGTCGGTAGAGCAGCGCAGCATGGATCCGATCACTCTCCCCCCGACCAGAACCACCCGCACATCCCGCCCATGACTCTCCTTCACATACTCCTGAAACAGGTATGGGGCGTCATGGCGAATCAGATGACACAGGTCTGAGAGGTGGTGCTTATCCCGGGCCAGGAACACCGCTTTACCTGTACAGATCGAAATTAGACAGTTTTACCAGGGATAAAGACTTAGGCTGTGTTCGAAATGGCATACTTGCTTACTGCTTACAGCCCAGTACACAGTGTCTAACATTTTTTTTAAAGAATAGTGTATGAAACAGTATACAATAAGCAATAAATGTTTCAGAGCTGTCACATGACAAAAACTGAACATTAATTCAGCACAGCTGTCAAGGTTGTTACCTTAGAAACAAATGAGCTAACTGTTCTTTTTATAAAGGCTTGTTAAGAAGGCTTCATACTAGTAAACAATGCTATATTGCCCAATTGAACTCATTTCATAATTGATTAACTTTACATATTGGACAGAACTAAATCAACACCGAGCTGTCTTTATTGATATTTTTGGTAGTTACACTAAGTGGCGATATATTCTAGTTACACTGGGCCTCATTTACGAAACGAATCAGCATACTGCAATATAGTATGGTAGTATGCCATTCCGAACAGCTTCTGTACTGATTTCAGTGTACTTGAGTCATATTTGGCAGATTCTGGCGAATATAGTAGGTCATCCGGGTATTACATGCATACAGAAAATTTGCATAATATGCACAGCATACATACTGGATACTGCACAAATAGTAAGAGTAGTATGATAGTATGGCATTTCGAACACAGCCTTACTCTACAATTTACAAAATTAATTTTAGGAACTACCTAAAGCAAAATGTGTCTTCTGCTACTTCAGGAAGTTATGCAATATTGAAGTGTCATTGCCAAAAGCTCAATTATTTATTGATTTCTCTGCATAACGACCAAATAGAACAGGAGCAACCTGTAACAGTCCAGGGTTAAATGCATGAAGTTTTATGTGACTACATTTTATACTCTTGATACACAGCCAGGTGTAGCAGCATGTATTCGGACACAGGCAGAATGTCCTACTTGTTTTCAGTTAACAAAAGTAATAAGAGAAGGCGGGGAAGATAATTACATAATTGTAAATTAGGGATGTAACAACTCACGATTCGATTCACAATTTTTTTTTTTACAAAATGAGATTTAAGACAAATTAAATGTGTCCTTATATTATTGCTTGAACAAAATGCTGCACATTTCTTTGTGAAATTAAAATATAACACTATAATAATAATAATATACTAATATAGCACTTGCATATTACTGCTCTTTTGTTGGTTTTGATTGCTTCTATCGTCCTCATTTGTAAATCGCTTTGGATAAAAGCATCTGCTAAATGACAAAGTTTTAATAT